ATATATCCTAACTGAATTTAATAAAAACAAAATTATCTTATATGGACAGGCTCTGAGTTAAGAATACTTGACTTACAGATAACTCACACTTAAGAATGTGCAGCTACAAAGCTTGTAATTTACAAGCTTTGTAGCAGCTCATTCTTAAAAAATATCCATTAAATACAATGGTTTGCAATAATTACTATATGCACTAGTTTGAGACTTATAAACGTTCCATGTAGATGTGCAGTTTGTTGACTTGAATTCAGTTTGTCTTGAATCACTGTGCTGTTATTGTTAACAGTAAATACCAACCTTATATATAAATGTTCCAACTAGGGTTTCTCTAACGGGATCTCAGCTGTATTTTAACCTAGGAAATATCCCGGAAAATTCTTCTCATCCTGCGAAATCCCACACAAATTTCTTTTCACTTTTTTCTTATTTTGTGTCAAGGTTGAGGAAATTTTTCAAATAGAACGTATAACTAACTCAAACTGTCAGAATACATTTGTATTTATTAATTTTATTATATTTAAAAAACTAATAAGCATGCTTATTACTTTTTTAAATTTTTGCTTGTTATGTCATGTCACAGATTGTTAATAATTAATATGTAGCCTATTTGTGGCAGGATTGAAATTCTTTACTTGCCAGAACCCATAATATCTTGAATAATTGTATCAATGCTGTCTTAATTTTTACTCATGCCCAGTAGCTTGAATAACTGCATTATACCAGATTGTGCAAATTGGGCAGGGATACAAACAAGTACGAAGTATGCAAATATAAAGTTTTTCTTCATCAACCCAATTATTAAAGTCAAACGAACTGCCAAATTATTGAGCTATATGCTTGATGTTTCTATTAAAGTAGCTGAGTTAGACAAATCAAGATACTAGAGAGCAAAAAAGTACTGCAATGCATCTCAAAAACAAACTAAAAATCTCCAATGCTACAGGTGAAAAAATACATAACATCTGTCTTCTCTTAAATTCATTAATTAAAGACGATTCCACCCACATCAATTGAATCAGAAAGGCCATTCTCAGTAACAGGACTTTTAATTACTAAAATAAGAGCCAGATTGAGTAATAGGAGTATTGACCATCTTTGCTTTTAAAAATCTTATAAAAATTTACAATATTTTGTATTATATTTTATTTAAAAAAAATGAAAATTACCTTCTAAGTTAGATGTTTGATCTAAGTGGCTTAGCTAAACTTGAAATTGATTTCCTTTCATGTTTGGTTGACTTAAACTGCACCTGTTGAGTAACATTTTTGTTTCAGGTATCTGCACAAAGTCTTTGCCACCATCACTGTTGTTAATTAAACTTAGTATACTATCTATACCAATCTCAACTTTTATAGCAATATCTTCATCTAAATTTACACCTGTTAAATAATATTTTACTAAATCCCATTTTCCAAGCAGCCTCTCTTTTGTATGTTTTTGTATCTGAATTGCTGTGGTGGATGTAGCAGCAGTAAATGTAAATACAGGTAACCCCCGTATAACACGGTAGTTACGTTCCAAAAAATTGCTGTGTTATGCGAATCAAAGAACTAGTATGAAAAGGAGGGTTAGGTTTAGGGATTGTATACCGGTTTACTGATTTACCGGTTAACCAATAAATTGACAAAAAACATTCGATAAACTTACCGGTAAATTTTGAAATTTACTGGTAATTCGGTAAATGAAAAATCCATACTAGATATTTTTATGTAGAAAATATTGTGTTTATAGATATTTAAAAGGGCTAAAGGGACATTGAGAGAAAAAAAAAACCAGTAAGTGTAAGCAACAATATACCTCATTATTAATTTTATGTGAGATATTTTTTGTTTAATTTTAATGTAATGACCATTCGTCCAACAAGTGTTGAATCAGAAAGGGCATTCTCGGGATCTGGATTATTTTGTACAAAAATTAGATCAAAATTAGGAGATAAGACTATAAATAATTTTGAGANATAATAATAATTTAAGATAATTTGGTATTATAGTTAGGTGTCATCTCATGCTAAATTTAATAATTATAATTTTAGATATTTTACAATATTTTAGACATATTGAGTGAGGGGGCATGTTCATCCGCCGAGGCTGCTGGCGTGTTTTCCTTTGTACCTGGCCACTCATACTAAGAATAAGAGTTAATTGTGTTCACAGAAATGAAACTGAAACCAAGACTATAGCAGCCAGTAGACTACACTGCTACCTGCCACTTTTGATTTCATCTGTGTAAGCCAGTGTTTCTCAATGGGGCGATATCACCCCCATTTGGGCGTTTTTCTATGTTGAGGGGGGCGATTAGTAACAATTTATATTTTGATGGGGTGAAAAACAATTTTCTGGGTGATACAGTAGAACATTATATTAAGAATAATTAGATATTATATTTGTTATAACGTACAATAATTAAACAAATAACATTATACTAGTCACTAGTCCATTCAATGCAGTACGAATTTGGCATTAGCCTTGGCCCTCGGCATCGGAATTTTGAAGTGAAGGGGGAGATACTGCGTAACAGTTTTATTGAAGGGGCGATACTAGATTGAAGAGGGCGACAATTCGTTAGAGGTTGAGAAACACTGGTGTAAGCAAATTTCTTCATTTTGGCACATATTAATAGTTGTCCTGTAAATTTACGTATTTTTAATGTAATTTGTTCTAAAAAATTAAAATTTGAAAATCTGCATAAAAATTTGCAATTAATTAATATATTTTGATTAACATTCATTCGTCATCACTTTTGATGATGATATTTTGGAATATCAAAAACAGTGAAGCTATAAAAATATTGTTTATTTAAAAAGAAAACTAAAGTTTTTTTGATGTTAAATAAACAATTTTTAAGTTGATATTTTGTGATGTATGCTTTGCCACTCTATTTCACAATAAACCAGTACAATTATCAGTGTCCTCAAAACATAATATCTACAAAAATTTTACAAAAGAAGAATTAGATATTAACAATGTTCAATAAATAACAAATGATATCAACAACACTTAAACTTTTAAATTTGTATGAAGAAAAATCTACTTTAGATAAATAATGTGTATATTAAATATAACTGCATTTTCTTGACATATAAATCAAAGAAAAAATACAATTTTGTATACGATTTGTTTTAAAAGTATAAATTCTTAATACATACATGATACAGAAAATACTTCCAAAACTTAATACATCTTCCTTTTTAGGACAAATTTTTGCAGTTTTTAATTCAAACTGATAAAAACAGAGTTCTTTATCTAGTTCTCTTCTTTCTTCTACAAATCTAAATTCATCCTAAGTACATAAAATAATATATATTATTTTAAAATTTTATTAAAAATTATTTATAAACATAGACAAAACTCAATAACTGATCATACATAGTCTGGACGAATAGTCATATTTTGCCAGTTTTCTCAATCTTCCATTGATGCTAATATAATTAATATTTGCATTAATTTGATACTATAACCCATTATATATCCAATTAACTGGTCAAAATTTTCTATACTCATTTTTTTTACTAAAACAGAATAATACTCTTTCTCACAAAAGCAAATGACTTTGAAAATGAGGATCCTTTTTACTTTTAAATTCCTTCCACCTTGTGGGCACTAAAGGGGTTTTTATGCCTATGAGAATAGAACCTAATGTATCTCACTCAATTTACCATGACTTCAAATTCTGGGTCAATACAGAAATTATCATTTTCCCAAAGTAATAGGATAATATTTTTTACCACTTCAGTCATCCAACTGTCATATTCCAGTGCTTCATTATAGAAACTGATGCATTCTTGCTATTCACTCTTCAATATGCCTTGACTGTGTTTGCATTCTTTAGATGATATCAATAACAAGTCCATTATACTATTTGTTTTTTTTCCTATATTATTTTTTTAGATGCTCTTATTAGTGATATAGGATAAATAGAGTCACAATGATGTATGTGGCAAATAAGACATCTACATTTGAAAGTGTCTTTTTGTGCACCCTGGCTTTTCCTCCTCCCATCTTTAAATGTTCTTTTTTTAACAAAAATTCTATCCTTTATATGTTTAAAGTATGATTATAAAAATTTGATTACCTTGACATATTTCCAGTGTTCTTATTCCAAATTTTTTCAATATCATCTGGTAACATGTCATAGTAATGTCCTATGGCTATAATGTAGCAATGGAGATGTGATTTTCAACTTAAAAGATTTCATTAATCTCTGTAGGAAATTAAACTAATGAAATAACTTTTTTGTGGTTTGATTTTTTGGACTATGTTAAATAATTTCTAAACAAAACAAAGCATTGTGGCAGTTGGGTATAAAAATTAAAAATTATCAAATTTTGAGAAATGTAAATAAGAAAATAAATATAATTTTAATAGGGTTGAATAAACATTTATATAATATAATAACTGTATTTTTTGCATATTCAGAAAAAGTATTGCCCTCTAGTAGCATCTGCTATACAGAATAATTTTTGTCTAGTTAAATAGTCACTCCACTTAACTGGCCAGTATTTCCTAATCCTGCAAATCTACACATCGCACATGAATGGTGTTTGTATGTGGTAGTAGCCCCAAGTCTCAATTCGTGCACTATGGTGGTTGTGTCTCGATAGCTATAAGGGTGTGGGAGATATGGGCTTGAAAGTGGTTGAAAGTGGAAGATTTTCTATTTCGATTTTAAAAATTTTCGAATTCGAATTCGATAGCTATAAGGGTGTGGGAGATATGGGCTTGAAAGTGGTTGAAAGTGGAAGATTTTCTATTTTGATTTTAAAAATTTTCGAATTCGAATTGGTTTGGTTATAGAATGATTGTAAACGTTCCAGAAAATTGATCAAATTGAAAATAGTTTGTTTGACTGGACATAAAAATTCTCTAATTAGTCTGGAAACGGGGGACCTAATTCTTGCATTCTGTGAAAACGAGTAAGATTGGCTATAATGTAATTATCTTAATCTTCACTATCGTTACTTTTTGCCCAGAGAAGCGGGTCCTTGCAGCTAGATNATTATTATATTATCCCTTAGACATTAAAAAATAAATTAGATTTTTAAAAACGTCATTATATACATCATTGTGCAAAAGAAAATTATTTTCATTCTTAAGCAGAAGACTGACTTAGCAATATGACAATAATCACACCCACTTTATGTACATATACAGCTTTGTAAATGTACCAAACAGGCTATGTAAAAATTTTGGATAATTATTTTATCAAATAAATATTACTCGCTATGAATTTGTAGACTAGAATCTTGTGGATTACAGACTCAAATTTGAATGGGCTGACAAATTTAGCTTTGTGCAAAAGCCTTTATATATTTTTCTTTTTACATAGTTAACAATTGGTCGTCACGTTCTTCTTCTTCTCTATCTAAGCAGTCATCTATTCCTCTATATGCCTGAGACTGGTGTCTCGAACCACAACGGCAAAGAAAATCACATCCGTCCTAAACACATTTAAATGTTATTAAATGTTTAATAGTTTAAAAACTTTGCTTTTTTCATTTATTAGAATTAGTCAAAAAATACTTACAGCTTGTAAGTTACCAAAATCTTGCCAAAATGAATAATTTGGAATTTGCTCCAATCCTTTGGCTCCTACTACTATTCGGTGATATAATAATCCAAACAGAAAATATAAACCGGTAGAACTGAAAAATCTGTTTCAATGAAAACAACATTTAATCATACATACTTAATAATTGCTACTCACTGAAAAATAGTACAGTAAATTCAGCTTAACAACTTTCGTAGATCCAAAACAAAACTTTAATTTTGAAATAATATACTGACTAACATTTCAATCAATACTGATCTTCATCAGATCATTTATATTCTATAAATGGAATATGTCAAAGAACATGTTACAAAAATTTAAAACTAATGAAAAATAGTTTAATTATGTTTTATTAAAAAATTTTTTTTGTTTTCAAAACTCCTGTAATATATGAAATATGCCATAATGAAAAAATTTAGTAAATAAAACACACATTCAAAAAAGAAAAAAATCTTAGGCCTGGCAACTTTTTCAATAAACTAAGAATTTTTCTTTTTTGAATGTGTGTTTTATTTACTAAATTTTTTTATTATGACATATTTTATGTGGTAATAAACAAAAAACTACTCACAATGTCAACCAAACTCCAGCAATTAAACCGTTGCACGAACATTTTCATCAGGTGGAATATTACGATTCTATGATGAAATTCTTCATTTCAAATTGCAAGTGCCGCTTAGTAGGTGTGGCACCTGTCTATTAGTGGATGCATAATGTCACAGAATATGCATCAGCAGGAACATCATCAGTTAGGTGTTTAAAAATGTAGAACTTCCAAGTCAGTGGGAACTTCATGTCTTTGTGGTTGATGGTGTGTTTCAGTGCGTGTGATTCGAAATGAAGAATTTCGTTGTAGAATTCTAATATTCCACCTGAAGATGTCTACTTTAAGGTAGATGAAAACGTTCGTGCAACGGTTTAATTGTTGGAGTTTGGTTGACATTGTGTTTTTTGTTTGCTTGTATATCCAGTATTGTGTTGTCATCGATCTTTTACGTAGTAATTATTTTATAAAAATTCCTCTATGTTTTATAAAATATTTTAACTATTTCTTTTCATATTATGTAATGATATATATTACACCCTCAATGTTTATGGATGTCAGTGTTTGGGAATTCAATCATTTGTGATTGGAAATTTATGCACCAAAATTTCAACTTTTGTGAAAGATTTCAACCTTTCAGGGAATGGGAGGTTACATACTACTATAAATTGAGTTGGCATCTGCAAAAATTGGTTGTTCTTTTTTGCAATAATTTTAGACAGTTAAGCTCAAACTATTTATAAACTGCATTTAAAAAGTAAAAATATGTTAAAATTCCACATGAATTCAGTTCATTAAATAATCACTTAAAACAAGTGAAGCAATTTTAACTCAGAATAGGCACAATGCTAAAAAATTTACTGCACAAACTCATTCATATATAAACAAACATCAGCTAACCCAATAAACATTAAAGCAACCAAAGCCAAATTAATGAGCCAGAAGTGGCTATAATAATAATAATAACTCTCCCGTGGTCACCACCTGGTCGTGGTGGGAGAGCCCAGTAATTTTACTGAACCATAGAGCAACGCAGGCTGGAGCACAAGCTCCTGGTAGGGACACCCATGCCAGTAAGGTCTATGGAGAGAAATGAAGCTAAGAGTGACCACACCCACATTCTGTGAGATAATTATGGTAGTAACCAGATCAAAGTGTGATACCGGCTCGGACGTCACCCGGGCTAACAAGGTCCGCGTTCGTGGGTTAGGCAGAGGCTCACGTTCGAAAAATAGGCCACAGTCTCCCTTGGTTACCGGTAGCAAAAGCAGCATCGGCCCAAGCATGGCTACTGCAATGCCCTCAACAGATGTGAGGAATCAACCTAGCCTTGGTGTTTCTGTGGCATTGCATCCACAGACCACAAAGGCTGGAAAACCACGCCAACGGATGAAATGGACAACAGAAATGAACGAGTTTATCATCCG